CCTCCTCCTCTTCCTCCTCCGCCACCACCTCTGCCCCCACCTCCACTCCCCCCACCCCCCCATCCACCCCTTCCACCGCCGTCTTGTCTCTTTTGCCAAGGGGGCATTTCAGGGGGTGGTGGTTCAATTTCATTTGGCCGTCCTCCTCTATCAGGGACCCGTCCCATCAGCACCTGTATGAAGAAACATTTTTTTTTTCAGTTTCTAATATGTTTAAAATTAAAATTCCATATAAAGTCTTCAATTTATAAAATGGTTGGTTATAAGAAACAGAAGCCAAATATTTCATGACATGAAAATACTGATTATGGCTATATGAATATTGAAATTATGACAAATTCCTCAGAATGTGATCTTATTTCAAAACAATCTGGGTATTTCTAAAACTTAAGGGTTTGTTAATTTTCTCTTACTTAAATTTAACAAATGCTATAACAAATAAAATATACATCACACAAATTTTTCAGCACGATATTTTCTATATAAACTACAAACCCTATCAAATATTTTAACACTAACTCTGAGCTTTCCATTCCTATTTAGTACAGAATAGCCAATGAATGACTATATTCCTAAGCATGTTTTATTTCAACAATGATGAATTGCACATGATAATGTGGAAGTAATGAAGTCAGCATTGACTAAAACTATCTTTTACTCTTCTGTTATAAAGTTTGTGGTGGAGGGCTCTACCTCAATGGAAGAGACATGCTGGTCAAGCTAACATTTCAGATTATGTTACTGTAGTATGTTGTTTACATAAATGCAGATAAATTGTTTAAGACTAATCCACAGAAATGGATCTACATTCTGAATTAGGAAAAAGAAACTCTAAGAGATTCAGAAACTTGGCCAAGAAAGCAATTCCTCTAAAATGTGAGCTGGAACATGAACCCAGATTGGTACGCTACGCCGTGGAGCATGTACTCTTCTTACCTTTATACCAAATATGGAGAGTCAAATGACAGTAAGTGAAACAACTATTTCAGATTCTGACAAATAAACATACACAAATCACAAAATTAAGCCTCAATCAAGTTAATCAAGATAGGAAATGATATTATAAATTCACTCTACTGTGCTGAGAGAAAAACCAACCTTATTAATGGCACATGCAGTTTTCTCCCGACTGATGCCACTACTTGTCCTAATGATCTTAGACAGATCTTCACGAGCTGCAAGCAGGTGTGCCAATGTGATAGTTGTCTTGGGTGACAAAGCATAACGCTTAGGCTGGTAAATTCTTGCTATGCTATCTGTCTTTACCTAAGTGACGGGGGGAGGGGGGAAGAGACATAAATTTCACTGAAAGCAATGCAATCAATCTTTAGAAAAAGAGATAATGTTCAAGCCAGGAACAGTATTTAAGTATCTGATAATTTATATATAAAATTTAAAAAATGGACCTACAGGCACTAAAAAATCACATGCAGCAACAACTCCAAGTAATGTTAACATAAATGGATAAAATATCTAATTGTGGTTTCACTGAAACCCATACAACACTTTAAAAAATAAAGTATCAGTACTGCTTTGCCAAACAAAAGGAATACTGAAATAAATGGTAAGAAATATCAAGGTTTTGGATAGGAAGATTGAGTTTACTTCAATTTTTCTCGAAAGTTATAGATTAACTATAATCCTATTAAAATGGCTTTGTGGAAGATGAAAAAAATCTAAAATTAAACCAGAAATTAAAACACGTAGGAATTACTCAAAGGATTTTGAAGAAGAATCACACCAGGCACCAACATACAATATGAAATTGTTATTGTCTTAAAAGCTAATATTTATTGAACACTTAGATTTAAAAAATGAAGAATCTCAATTTTACCCACTTACTAATAAATTCCTCAAGTATACAGAGAAAAATGTATTATTTGTCCTCAGCATAATTAGTTGAAACTTGGAAGAAAGACATGTATTGATGATAGAAAACAATGATTGAGGAGGCAGAGGAGGAGACAGCTCAGTAGAATAAACGCTTGCCTGGCAAGCACAAGGGCCTGAGTTCAATCCCCAGTTTCGCCAAAAAAAAAAAAAAAAAAAGATTGATATTCACAGCATCAAAGCTATAAATACGGGGCTAGTGAGATGGCTCAGTGGTATAAAGCACCTACTTAGAACAAGCTTAGCAAAGCACAGGTTCAATCCCCAGCACCACATGCCAGCCAGCCCCGCCCCCTGGTGGGCTGAGCTGGCCACACAAACACACACACACACAAATAAATCAGTTTTTTAAAAAAAGCTCTAAATACATTTATATAAGTAACAGAGGAATCACAGAATAACAAGGGAGAATTATTTTAAATGGTACTTGACTGAATTGCTATTTCTAAAAATACTAATAACAGTATTAATAAGGCATACACATACTAAAGGGAATCCCAAAGATAATATCGATTGTTAGAAGTTTTATCTTTAAAAACTTACCTAAACATTAAAATTTTTATATATCACAAGCTATATATAAAATAAAACACAACTGAGGAAAATACTTTTAACAAAGAAATTAGAAAATTCTCTTAAATATATAAAAAAGCTCAACTGAAAGGAAGACAAATTTTTCAGGGATAAGAGGAGACATAAATAGAAAAAAGAAGAAACTACAAAAAAATAAGTCCAATTTACCAATAATAAGAATGTACCAGCTGGGGAGATAGCTCAGCGGGCCAAGCGCCTGCCTGGCAAACACAAGGACTGGGGTTCGATCCCCGGTACCACATGTCATGCCGAGCACTGAAACCAGGTGTGGTTGCACACACCTGGAATTCCAGTGTTGGGGAGGTTGAGACAGAAGGATCACAACAAGTCTGAGCTGCGTAGTGAGACTCTGCATCAAATAAATAATTTTTAAAAAGAATATACCAATTAAAATGAACCTTTTTTAGTCATTAAGTTAGCAAGAAAATTGGCAATATCCTAAAAATTTGCAGCTAAAGTTACCTACAATTTCTTTTTTTTTTTTTTTGTGGAACCAGGGATTGAACTCGGGCCCTTGTGCTTGTCAGGCAAGTGCTTATTTTACTGAGCCATCTCCCTGGCCCCTACAATTTCATTTAGCCTGCTTGTACGAGTTTAAATTCATGTAAACTCTAGAACACAATTTGGTCAGTGAAATCAAGAGCACAAGTTTCCTTTTAAGGAAATCAACCATAGATAATATTTTAACATTTATAATACATTATAAGATGTAAAAAAAAAATTGAAATATTTCTGGTACTACTATGACAAAAAGGTATATAGTAATATTAAGTAAGTCACGGCATCACCATATGGTAAAATACAATGCAGCTATAAAAAGGATACTAAAAGGAATAAGTACACAAACACAGGAGAACCTTGAAAAACTTATTCTAACTGAAAAGTCGGGCACAAAGGTGTATGTTACATCATCCTTTTATATGAAATATCCAAAACAGGTAAATCTACAGAGACAAAAAGGACATTACACACCTCACAAAAAGGAAAACAACCTGATTTTTTAAACGTTTTTACACTGGTGTAGGGGATCCTAAAGGATATCATGGAGCCTGGGAGACAGTGCAGCGACATAAGCAACGGCCTGGCAAGTGCATGGTCCTAAGTTTGATCCCCAGTACCCCCCCAAAAAAGGATGTTGTATACCACAGAAAACCCTCTATCCTGGGGCCCTGAAAAATGAAACTGAAGATGCATGAGCAACATTAAAGAACAAGGCTGGGGCTGGTGAGATGGCTCAGTGGTCTAAAGCACCTACTTAGAACAAGCTTAGCAAAGCACAGGGACCGCGGTTCAATCCCCCAGTACCACATGCCAGCCAGGGCCGCCCCCTGGTGGGCTGAGCTGGCCACACACACACACACACACACACACATAAATAAATAAAAAATTTAAAAAAAAAAAAAAGAAAGAACAAAGGCTGCCCAAGAGGCAGTTCATTGCATTGATAAATGTCTCAAAGCCGATGACCATCACTTTTGAGTGCCTCTAATAAGAGGCCAAAGTCAAACTGTAGAGGACAAAGCTAACATGTATTAATCTCATGATGTTTTGATAAATTTTGTATTAAAATACTTATACCAGTTTTTCTTTTCCTGAAGTGTATATACATTTTTGGGGGGCAGACTCAGTATATGTCTTAGCTACAATATCAGTATCACAATCAAAGTAAAAGAGAGAATGAATTATTGAGCTCACAGCATACAGAGGTTTCAGTCCATGATCAGTTGGGTCCAAAACAGATTAGGTTGGTAGAGGGACATTCTAGAGGAGAAACAGTTCAAGGCAGCAAATGACAGCAAAAGCAAGCATGCCTCACAGTGTCATTTAGTCCCTTCTATCTCATCCAGACTGCTAGCATTAGAGTGGTAGGAAACCAATCAATGGACTGACATACTGACAATACACCCTTACTTAATTCTAGCATCACACTTTTGATTTAGCCACCTCTAAAAAAGCCCTGACTATATGAGGCTTTGAGGGTGCACCTAGACACAAACCATAGCAGTGTGTGTGTATGTGCGTGTGTTTTTAGAAGTACCTGTGAAGTATAACCCTGGAGTAGACATCAAAAGCATAAAAATCATGTATATCCTTTAATTTAAAAAATTTACTTTTCATAGACATGGACAAAAATTTAGAGGCCAACAATTTAAACAGAAAATTAGAAGAAAATTCAGTGTCTATCAATAACTACAAGTATTGACTGACCTTATCAGACATAATAGTTACATTTCTTGTTATACAGGTCTTGCTTTATCTTGGTCTTAACCATCCAGTAGAAAGTATAAAAACGAGGTATATAAAGTAAAGCAATGTTAATATGCTGAGCTGTGAAAGGCTCAAGTCAACCCTAGTACCACATGCTATGCCAGGCACACACCTGTAATCCCAGCGCTGGGGAGGCTGACACAGGAGGTTCACTATGAGTCCAAACTGCATAGCGAGACCCTATACCAAATAAATAAGTAAATAAATAAAGATTAAAAATGCTCATAAAATAAAAAAAACTTCTGTGAATAACCCACTACTATTGTGGACTGCTAGACTGTGTTGGATTATTTTGTTGAATTCACGCATCTATAGTATTTAGATGCCAATGGAATACCCATTTCTGACAGGACTAAAACAAAAAAGGCGATACAAAGGAAGGACCATTTTGTATCTGTATATGCAGAGTAGTTAGGATAGATATACAGCTACTTTCGCTTAATTCAATGAGAAGAAAGATTTGCACTACTAGTGTCTGGACAGGATATTCTGTCTGTATCTTGTACTACAGATGACCACTGTACAATATATTAATTATTAAAACTGTCCTATTAATCAGTTTTGAAACTGTCTCATTGGTATTTTCTTCTCAAAATAAAAAAAAAACTACAAGTAGAAGATAATATATTCTGCCAAGATTGAAACTACTATAAAACATTCAATGACAATCATTAAACACTATCAAGCATATTTTTCTATTAGAAAAAT